AGAAGAAGAAGAAGAAGAAGAAGAAGAAGAAGAAGAAGAAGAAGAAGAAGAAGAAGAAGAAGAAGAAGAAGAAGAAGAAGAAGAAGAAGAAGAAGAAGAAGAAGAAGAAGAAGAAGAAGAAGAAACAACAAACAACAATAACAACAACAACTCTGGATATCTGCTTCAAAGACCTGATCATTCTATGCCAAATACTCCCAGCTCTTCCTAAAGCACAAATAAGTCTTCTCATCAAAACGCAGCTGAAGGCAACCTGTTATTGACTCCCTTTTAGAAAGAAGTGGACCTCCTGCAGCTCCTCAACAGCAAAGGAAACAATGGTTTGAAAGCAAATGATGGAGCTTGAAGTTTCACGGAAGAAGGAAAACCATCACAGGAGGCATTCTGGGCAACAAAATCCTCTCGATACAGTAATTCAGTTTTGCTAAACCCTGAACTGCTATTCTTGCTGGTTTGCATCTCTATGCCTTCTTCTCATCTTTGTGAGACTTGACTGTCTCAAGAGCCCAGTTTATGACTCAGTTCTAACTTCTCTTCCTAATTCTCCCAACCTGATGGCTAAACTATGAGCAGCAAAGCTCTGACTTCCATCACTCGCAATACATTCTATTAGAAAGCTGCAGCATCAGGCCAGACAACAAAATCATTGTAAAGATGGGCAAATTGCCCATCCATTCCCTTCAGCATGGAAGCCTCCTGCCAAGGTATCATTTGTATCTTCAAAAAGTGGTATCCTGGACCCTCAGCTCCCTAAGTTCTCATCCACTGCCCTCCAGCAATTGAAATAAAATATTGGAGCTCTTGAAAAGTGCCCATAGAGGTGTCCAAGTGGCACAACCAGAAGCATAAGCTCATTGTGGACCAGAAGCATAAGCATGGCTGATAGTGGAAAAACCGAGCAGGGTCGGCAATCAGAGATACATCGTGGTGACCAAAACTGGATGCAGTATTCCAAGTGTGGCCTTACCAAGGCATTGTAGAGTGGTATTAACACGCGAAGTATTAATACCACTCTACAATGCCTTGGTAAGGCCACAGTTGGAATACTGCATCCAGTTTTGGTCACCACGATGTAAAAAAAGATGTTGAGACTCTAGAAAGAATACAGAGAAGAGCAACAAAGATGATTAGGGGACTGGAAGCTGAAACATATAAGGAACGGTTGCTGGAATTGGGTATGTCTAGTTTAACGAAGAGAAGGACGAGGGGGGACAGGATAGCAGTCTTCCAATATCTCAGGGGCTGCCCCAAAGAAGAGGGAGTCAGGCTATTCTCCAAAGCACCTGAAGGCAGGACAAGAAGCAACGGATGGAAACTAATCAAGGAGAGAAGCAACCTAGAACTAAGGAGAAACTTCCTGACAGTCAGAACAATTAACCAGTGGAACAACCTGCCTCCAGAAGCGGTGAATGCTCCAACACTGGAAGTTTTTAAGAAGAGACTGGACAGCCATTTGTCCGAAATGGTATAGGGTTACCTGCCTGAGCAGGGGGTTGGACCTGATGACCTCCAAGGTCCCTTCCAACTTTATTATTATTATTATTATTATTATTATTATTATTATTATTATTATTATTATTATTATTATTATTATTATTATTATTATTATTATTATTATTATTATTATTATTATTATTATTATCATCATCATCACAAAGTTCCCAAAATGAACATATACCTACACATTAGGCACACATATACCTACACATTAGGGATCTATGCCAAATGTCCCTGCAAGGAAGAAGACTAAGCTGGAAAATGATGAAGAATGCATAGGCACAGTGTGCAAAAACAAGGTCAAGGACTCTATTTTGGGAGCAATTTTCTACCCTTCCACCCTTAATATAAACACCATAAAGCTAAAAATAATCCAGAGATGCTTTCTGGGATCTGATTATTTTTCAGCCCTTTGCAGTATTACCTTTCCTTAGGACAACTGCTTTCAATAATTCCGCAATGTTTTGTTTTTTTTCACTTTCAAAGTCATGTTCTCCAAAGAATCAATGCTTATGCTGGGGAATGGAGGAGACAGAGTGAAGCAAGAGCAGAAGGTCCCTCAAGACACACCAGTGCATCAGGTTTTCGAGATTTTTGTTACTTTACTGCCCATCTTCCCCCTCCTGAATTAAACCCAGAAAGACCGGTTGAAATCCAAGAAGGATGAAGTATTGACAAAGGTCAATCCAGATAATCAAGACTGGACCTGTTCGTCGATGTCCCGTTACTCGTTGCATTGTTCTGTCGAGACAAACGGCTCTTCTCCTACAGAAGAACCATATGTCCTCATCACAGCCCATGGCTGATCGTGGAAAAACAGAGCAGGCTCAGATCTCGGATGGGAGGCAATCACAAAGTTACATGTGCTTTGAGCCCAAACTCTTCTCCAGGGTTTCTCCTCTGGTGGAGATGAGCCCCCCGCACAAAGTTCTTGCATTACCCATGCAATTTCTCAAAGAACATTTCTATTAGGACAGGGGTAGGCAACCTTGGCTCTTTTATGACTCGTGGACTTCAACTCCCAGAATTCCTGAGCCAGCATGAGGGAAACTTTGGCCCCTTCATGACTTGTGGACTTCAACTCCCAGAATTCCTGAGCCAGCATGAGGGAAACTTTGGCCCTTTCATGACTCGTGGACTTCAACTCCCAGAATTCCTGAGCCAGTATGGCTCAGCTTGGAAACCTCTCCCTTTCCCCTCAGCACGGCTGGCTCAGGAATTCTGGGAGTTGAAGTCCACGAGTCATAAAAGAGCCAAGGTTGTCTATCCCTGGACTAGGCACAAGCATCCATGGCAACCACTTTATAAAACATACAAAGCCAGGGAGAACATGTAGAGTTGCCACCAGAGGAGGATCAAGACCCACCATCTCAGCAATGATTCAGGAGAGGAGATTTCCCCCCCCTTTTTTTTTTTTACTGGCTGTTACAGAGACTGAGCACGAATGCCTAACTTATTGCTGCAAATAACCTGTGCTTCCTGCAGAATTTCAGAACAATAAATAAATTAGAAGGGGCTCATTATATTTATGTGGAACTACCCAGACTACCCACTTCTTGAACCAGCCTCTGCTCCTTCCAGTCCCATCACTCTCCCCAAACAAGGCAGTGAAAGACGATGGGCACAGAGAGCTTCATGTGCTATGAAAAAAAAAATACGGCTTTGCAATTAATATTTAAGATTTCCAAGAAGAAAGCACGTTATTAGTGGTTATAATTAGGAACCAGATTGTGTGTGTGTGTGTGTGTGTGTGTGTGTGTGTATTTTAGAGCACAGCTTACTGAATCAAGGTATGTATTTTTCATGAACCACCTGCTGGGAGTGCCTCCAGGGAGGGAATTATGCTTACTGCTGTTTCAAAAGTAATGAGATTTTTTTTTTAGTAGAACACAGCTTCCAGAATATTAAGTGTATAATCTCTCTCTCTCTCTCTCTCTCTCTCTCTCTCTCTCTCTCTCTCTCTCTCTCTCTCTCTCTCTCTCTCTCTCCCTCCCTCCCTCCCTCTTTCTTCCTTCCTTGAAATATAAGGAAAAATGGGAAGATCATTTTAGATGGTGCTAAAAATTCATCAAAGCTGCTATTGCTGTTTTTTGAGGTCATTCATAAGCACGGTGGTGTCTTTCCTTCTACTCCTCGTCTTTCAATGCTTCACTCCAATACTTCATGCCAAGGTAGGAGATGACAATTGTTCTCCCCGATAGCCTGGTGACCCACCGAACTTTCTAACATTTCCCATTTAAGGCAGTGCCAATTTTACAAACTAGGCAGAACTGAACGAAGATGAGGTTCAACTGGTTCACCGTGGTGTTTGGCTTTTTCACTCCTGGGACTGAGATCTGATGGGAGATGGAGACCAGCTTTTCCACTTCCAACCTCCCCATCCCACCAACTCCCCGACAATCAGGAGCCAGGTATCTTCTGAGAACTAGTGCAGAAGACAGACTGGAGAAGAGGGATCCCCAAAGAGATGTCACCAAGGGATTCCCATGCCCTTCTTGCAACCTAAACCAAGTTCCTTCTCCAGAGCAAAGCTTTGAGCTTACGGGCCAAAGAGGACAAATACGGTACCTCACTGTTCGAGCTTTCCACAAAGGATCCTCCAAACATTGCAGACATCCATTCACAGCTACAGATTAGAAGTGGTTTATGAGCATTTATCTTTCCGTCTTCCAACACGAATACCACATCTGTTAAGGGATCAAAGGAACACAATAACAACCCGTGACTGCTGGTGCTTGCAGTCAAATGTGTGAATCAGGAAGAACATGGGAGAAAGCACGTGATCTGCTGTTTGGCAGAATTTCTGCAAAGAAGGTCCTTCATTGAGGACATCCGGAAGGGCAAATATTAATGTTTAAATGAGCAACAAGGCAATTAAACTCTGAGCTTCCGTCACAGGAACCACGCCAGGAGTTCTTGCTGATTGAGGTTGTTCAAGAGTGTCACTGGCAAAAATGAAAACGGGTCAAATTTATCACAGCTTCATGGGTCATGTAAATGCCACAACACAGTAGTAGTATTGCTAATAATAATAATATTTATATTCTGTCTTGAGGGGGCTTAGATGGGGGGTCTCCCTTTGTTCCTGCCTGCAACCACAGCCCTGTGAAGTAGGTTGAGTGGAGGGTGGCTGGCCCCCAAATCACCCAGGGGACCATCATGGACTTGATCCTGGTCTCCCCAGTCGCAGTTCAAGTCCCCCAACTGCGGGTTCTAACATTAGAGCTTCTTAACCTTAGTTGCAAAACTCCATATGGCCACTAGGTGGCACACATACCTTGTATTTTCCATATTCTTTGGCTGCCACCTAGTGGAACTAAACTCCTGTAGCTCCAAATACTTGTCATTTAATTATCTTCCAATCTACACTCAGGTACTGTATTCCACTCAAACAGCTCCAAGTCCCAGAATTAGCTGAAGAGAAAGATAGCTCATCAGTCGAGCAGCTGTGTCAGGGCAGAGAGACTCAGAGGTAGCCCAGAAGGGCTGGGAAGGTCTCCTCTCTGCAGAACTACTGCCGGAGACCCTCTTGAATCAGATGGACCATAACTGTACCCAATAAAACATCATTTCCCATATACTGAAAGCTAAGGGCTAGAGAGTTACATTGGTATCCTTGCAAACAATACAGCCCATGTAAACCGTTGGATGAGGAGGCTTCCATCCCTCACCCCCTCACCTCCCAAAAGCTAGAATTGTAATTCTGGTGGCGGAAGAGTAAAAGAGAAAGGGGAAACGAAACTGGATTAAGATGAAGCAAAAGAAGAAGGAACCGGACGGGGAAGAAAGAAAAGAAAGGAAACCCTACCCAGTTATCACCAAAGGAGCTAAAATGCATCAGGACCCCGAGCACAGTCACCCCCAAGGTGCCTTGGGGGAGCTGACTGTCAAAGGCACCCACACCTCCTGCAACAGGGCCAGCAAGGAAGAGGTCTCCTACTTCTGCCCATCTCCCTGTGAATTCTGACTTTTTCCCAACGCTTGAACAGAATCAGACTGTCTTCCAAGCAGAGACCCACACTTAGATCTCTCTTTCAACAGCATCTGCACCTTCCCCCCATTCTACAAGTGGAGGACAACTCTCTCCAGGTTTCGAAAATGATTGGGCGAAGGGGCGGATTTGCCTTTTTATGTAAAGATGTATTGCATTCGCATCAAGGAATACATCATGACCCGTCGTAGGGCACAATTTTAGGCTGTGGGTACCCAACTTCCCTTCCTGAACCCTTCAGAACGTCCAAATTACATCTTGGCTTGCACAAAACCATCCCGGGAGTCCTGATTAGCATTGTAACAAAATGCAAGGTAGAGGGATATTTCTGTGTAGACTCACCAGAAAATGTCTCCTTACAGAGGCATTCTTTTATTCTGTTAGCCTTCCGGACGTGGAAAGCCTTTGTAATCTCCTGGTTCATGAAGCCTTCCTTGTTGGTTATGTTTTCTACCATCATCCGCAAGTCAAACACTTCCAGGATCTCAGCAATTTGAGCTACCCGGGTGAGGTCCCTTTCGTTTTCGTCCAGCTGCCCGGTGTATAAAAACTGTAGGACGGTTTTAAAAGGTCCCGGTTGGATGGAAGCCTCCATTTTGACCACCGTCACTGCACAGACCCTCTTCGAAACGGGGTTAATCTGCATCTCTTGATGTAGGCTTATGAAACCTTTGCCCCAGAGCGTTGGACCCTGTTTTGGGCAGGTGGCTTCTCCTGCTTCAGGCTCCACCTGGAGGCCCTCAGTCGAAGCAGAAGGTGTTGCAGCTGCCCCTTCAGCTCCCTGATCAACTGCTTCAAGGCTACAGGTTCTGGCGGGGAGATTGCTACCTTTACTACAAAAGCTTTCAGTCAAGTCGGGTGTTTCTTCACATTCCATTAAGAAAAGGTCATAAAACTTGGACGAAGAGGTAGCTAAGTAGATCTTGTGAGCAAAAATCTGAGTCTGTTCCTGAAGAATAAACAGCACATCTGCACACAAGGGATTGTCCAGTAAGTATCCCACGTCGTTGATCTTGAGGATGGGACACTCTGGGATCTTGATAACAGGGGGAGGAGCCTTTGGAGGTAGAAATGGAGCTTGGAGCAAAGGTTTCTGGACTTTCTTCAAATGGGATTTCCAGAACTGCAAGTGTCTCCTGGAAATCAGGGCTGCTCGGATTGCATTATCAAACACATCCTTGATGCCAAACTGGTCAAAGACGCTGGTTTCATAATAGGGTATACCAAGCTCTTTAGCAACTTCCCTGCCTCTTTCTGGTGGAAGGATGTCTCCCTTCTTGATAGGCCTGCAAACAAAATGGAGTGAAAAAGAAGAGGTCACCTTGGTCAGGCTCACTGAATAGAACTAGTGGACCCCACCCATCAAGGGATGCGTTCTTGTGATCCTTTGGCCTTCGCGCTTTCCCTTTTTCGGATGCCCCATGAAGACCACAGGGTTTGATGCCCAAAGTCTTCAACATCTGAGAAGACTTCCTGCCTATTTGAAAGACCCCCTTCCCCAGGTATGGAATTTGCTATTAATTTTGTTTTTATTTTCCTGTACTGTATTATAAACTAAAGAAATTAGACACGCAAGGCCATTTCAAATGCTTCCTTAGGAGCCAAGATGTCGCCTTTTCTGCAAAGGTCCAGCATTGCCTTGTCACTGGGTTTTTTTTTTAAATCCGCATTCAACCCTACCTTGCCAATGGCCTCCTGGCTCGATTGACAGCTTCCAGATCGGCATAGCGAAGGTCCAGTTGGCAGCCCACTAGAATCACAGGGGTCCGAGGGCAGAAGTGCTTGATCTCTTGACACCACATTGTCTTCACATGATTCAGGGAGTTAGGGTTAGCAATGGAGAAGCACAACACCACCACGTCAGATCTGCAAGACAAAAATATTATTTGTTTTAGATAAATTTTATAGCTCAATTGCTTTGTTCACAAATGGGCGTTATTGCAAAGTGCCAGGGCCGCATCAGCATTGTGGTACCCTCAGGGGGGTGGGGGTGGGCATGGCCCACTGGGTGGGTGTGGCTGCAGTGGTCACAGCAGACTGAGTGGGCATGGCCAGGGTGGGCATGGCCACCTCGATGTTGCTGGTGGGGGAGACACCTGTGGGGGCTGGGCAGGATTGGGGGAGATCCAGGGGGTCTCTGGTGGGTGGTACGGTGGGCAGGGGGCTCATCCTGTGGGGCGAGGCAGGGGGTAGGACGGGGGTGCCATTGCTGCAGGGCATGGCGAGGCAGGGGCGGCTGCTGCCTGACACCATCAGCCCCCACACACAGAGGCCAGTGAGCGCATGGTCTACCACCTCTACTCAAGCTTGCTAGCCAGCTGCTTCACCTCCTTTGTGCTGGGTGAAGCTGCCACTTCGGGCACCAGCAGTGGCCTAATGGACCTGCACGAGCTGGCGGCGGCGGTGGCAGGTGTGCCCACAGAGAAGGCTCTGAGTGCCGCCTCTGGCACGCATGCCATAGGTTTGCCATCACTGTTCTAGACAATTTCTGGAAGGAAATCCAGCATGCCAAGGATTCCTTTAAGGTTCAGAGTTCACAAGGGGGGAAAAATGAATAAATATTAACCCCTCCCCTTCCAACCCAAAGCATGACTCAGCCACCTGTCTCTCTGTTCAGGTGTTTTTATGGAGCCGAGTATTTACAAAGCAGCATTTTCCTTCTTTTCCACATTAGGAATATATTTTAGAGCCCCTCCTTCCCTCCCTTCCGGAACTGAGAAAAGGGAGTTGGGAAAAGAATATGATTTGGACCGCTTCTCAATACACAAATTGCTATGACAACCAATTGCTTGGCTCTGTTTTGAAATGTTTGCTGGTGGTCCTCAGAATTCACCACACAAGTAGCATCCCCTGAAATCTGAGCCCAGGAGCATCAGATCTGACTTTGAATGGGTCATCAGCCACTCCCTAGGTCTAGGCCAGGGGTAGGCTACCTTGGCTCTTTTATGACTCGTGGACTTCAACTCCCAGAATTCCTCAGCCAGCCACGCTGAGGGGAAAGGGAGAGGTTTCCAAGCTGAGCCATGCTGGCTCAGGAATTCTGGGAGTTGAAGTCCACGAGTCATAAAGCGGCCTAGGCCTAGGCCAGTGGTAGGCTACCTTGGCTCTTTTATGACTCGTGGACTTCAACTCCCAGAATTCCTGAGCCAGCCACGCTGAGGGGAAAGGGAGAGGTTTCCAAGCTGAGCCATGCTGGCTCAGGAATTCTGGGAGTTGAAGTCCACGAGTCATAAAAGAGCCAAGGTTGCCTACCCCTGATCTCGGAGGACATTTTTACTAGTTACCAACTATCTCTGGCTTGAACCATGCAGGGTCCAAAAATGACAGCTGTGGGAAGTCCATGTCCAACCAGAAAGTGGTATGTTTGAGGTACTTGTCCGCCTACCAAAAAAAGTGGGATGCTGTGTTCTCTGCATGGTTCCAAACTGAAATGGCCGGAGGGGTCTTTTGGGTAATGGCATTTGTGGCTTTTGGCCAGTAATGGCCTTCCAGAGGAGGCACAGAGGGGTGTGAGAGGGAGAGAGAGATTGAAAGGAGCTAAAGCGAGGACAGGAGGAGGTTTGCTTGGAAGAAAAGTAGGGGGCTGGCAAGTGGATGATGGTGCCCTGAGCTAAATGGTGGTGCCAGCAGGGAGACAAGATTCTGGAAAGGTAGAGGAGAGAGAGATGCTTTTTATAAGTGCACCCAAGATTGACAGGGGCTTTGCTGATTTGTAGCATGAAGTTGTTTCGAGTCAATTGTGGGACTAAAATAACCCAGATTTCAATAAGCGGAGAGCTGAAGAGTTCAGCACTTCTATTCATAAGGTGACCAATCGTCACCTTATGTAAGTCCTTCTTTTGTAAGTTCTGTCCTCTCTCGAAAAGTGTCCTCCTACATGTCCTCCTTTTCAATATTTGAAGACTAATCTGTAAATCTCCGTATTCGATCGATGCCGATCCGCTCCGTTGCGTGTGATGTGACGTATTTGTATTTGACATGATGATTCGTCAAGGCTCGGTACAGTGCGGCGAGACGCGATTATGAGATGCGTGCGCTCCACACAGGAGAATTGTTTTGAGAGAGTGCGCCACGCGCAAGAGTGTGCCGCACGCAAGTGGCTTTGTTTACTTCTTACCGAAACACAACACGGCACACGCACGCATTAGACTCACTTTTTTTCTTCAATTTATTTGTGTCCTCCTTCTCATTGTAAAAAGGTTGGTCACCTTACTATTCAAGTAATTATCCCCAAAGATCTGGGGCAGAGACGTCACGTGGAGACGGAAAGTCCTCTCCCAACTGCCTTGTTTCAGCAAATGCTGGGACCCCCCTGGCTCTGCCCTCATATCTCAGCCCAACTGCTTAGGGACAATGTGTTTCATTGTGTATCAGAAGGCGCCTCCAGGAGCAGAAGCAAGGATGCAAATAACCCTGCCGAATCAATAAGACTGAATTTGAAGCATGCTAATATTTGGCAAAGGGACCGTGTCTCTGCCATCTCTTTTGCAACCTTTAGAAAAGGCATTTAAATGTTGTTTAAATATTTAACTGTATTTGTTAACCAAGGCTGTTAAACCTGGTTGTTAAATTACTTATTGCCCAGAAGGTACTATGAGGTCAGCAAGAGAAGGCCAATGGTCAACATTCCTGAGAGGTCTGTTCCGCCAAAATCCTTTGTGTCTTTTGTGACCTTGGCTCCTCTTCCTGCTCCCCATGAGACACCACTTGGTGAACTGGAAGCAGCTGAAGGCCCCATCTCCCTGCACCTAGAACCCCCTCCCCCCTTGGTGTTCTGCCCTGGTTGTAGGGTTGTAGGGTTCCCAAGACTTGTGGCATTACTCCAAAGAATTCCTGCAGCAGCATTTCTCCCAAAGCAACTCTTGGAAATATGAAGCCGGAAATGTGTTACTGATGAAGGAGGTGATGCACACTCGGAGCTCAATGGATTTGGGTTGCTTCTGGAAGGAAATCCACCAATATTCCCAATCTCTCCTCCTACTTGATTCTCAACCTAATGCTGTATAGATGTGTCACACTTCAACTCCTGATTGGCATGGAAATTAGCCCCATGGCTTGGGAATTATGGGAGCTGAAGCCTGATAGACCAAGAGGGCACTGAGTTAGAGAAGCCTGTTTAACCCTCTACAGATTATAGCACCATCTAGAACAGGAGTAGGCAACCTTGGCTCTTTTATGACTTGTGGACTTCAACTCCCAGAATTCCTGAGCCAGCCATGCTGAGGGAAAAGGGAGAGGTTTCCAAGCTGAGCCATGGCTGGCTCAGGAATTCTGGGAGTTGAAGTCCACAAGTCATAAAAGAGCCAAGGTTGCCTACCCCTGATCTAGAACAATGAAATCAATATTAAACCAAAAGTATTAATGTCAATGAAACTTCAGCAGCCGAACATCTGCTTGGGCACAAAAGCCTACGAGGCCAATCTGATCGGCCTTTGTGCTTCATCCTCTTCGGTGGCACGTAACAGATCACTTTTGAGACCTGTGCAAAAAGAATTCCTGGGTCTCAATTTCTGTTGCCAGGATTGATGTTACTGTAGTTGACATGCGTGCAATTATGACATAAAGGTGTTTCAGGCTCATCCACAAAGTCTGTTCTTTTGGGTAACTTTTAAATTAAAAAGGAACCGAAACAGAGAGAAAGTCTGAAGGAGTTTCAATGACTCTCAAATGGTTTGCAGGAATTTTAAGCTAGCATTAATATCTGGTCCTATAAAGACGATATCATCATTCTAATGCATTTAGAATGACCAAATATTCTTCTTTTATACTAACATGGAATTTAGTTAATAACCAAGCTGGACCTTCCTCATTAGTCTGATCCCACTTTTCTGAAAATGATAGGCAAAGTTTCTCCCTTCACAGGTTTTCAAAGCTCTCCCAGTTCAGCAGTAACTGTTCTTTATGACCAGCCAAGCAAATAAAAATAGTAAATGTAGTCATTAATTTAATTATGTAATAGTTGATTTAATTATTCATTCAATAGTGCCGTTTCTTCTTCACACTGTTTGTGGATGACCCATGGAATATATAGTATTTTGTTCAGATTCGTTACTCCAAATGTTAACCCATTAAAGATGTAAGTATTCTCCTATGCCAGTGGTGGCGAACCTATGGCACGCGTGGCAGAGGTGGCACTCAGAGCCCTCTTTGTGGGCACACGTGCCATGCCCCGGAGATGGCAACCATCCCTCTTCAACCAGCCACCCAAGGTCCCACGTAGCCGGATGCATCCCGGCATGGCTGGTTTCCCTCCCCCCCTGGTTCCGTCCCTCCTGACCTTGCATGCTCTCCTCTTCCTGGGCATGACCCACTGCATCACCTCCTCAGCTGTCAGCCAGCTGTCCAGAGTGTACCGGTCAAGGAGCCAGCAGGCTGTGGCTGCTGATGGACACCGTCGCCCCCCATGCACTCGCTGGCCTCTGTGTGCAGGGGCTGATGGTGTCAGGCAGCAGCTGCCCTGGCCCCTGCCTCACCTTGCCCCACAGCAATGGCATCCCCGCCCTGCCTCACCTCGCCTCACCCTGCAGGACAAGCCTCCTGCCCACTGCCCCACCTGCCAGAGACCCCCTGGATCTCCCCCAACCCTGCCTGGCCCCCACAGGCATCCCTCCCCACGAGCAACATCGAGGTGACCATGCCCACTCTGGTCATACCCACCCAGTCTGCCATGACCATCACAGCCACGCTCACCCAGTGGGCCACATCCCACCTGGCACCCGGCAATACATAAGTGGGGTTTGGGTTGCAGTTTGGGCACTCAGTCTCTAAAAGGTTCGCCATCACTGTTCTATGAGCTTGCTTGCCACAAAAGGGACATCTAACTTAGACTGACCTTCCGTAAGCGAAACGTCGGTCTTTGTGGTGGTCTCCAAAGGTGTCCCAGAGCCTGAGAGAAACACTCACTTCGTCAACTACATCACGGGATCGTTCAAGAACCTGGAATAGAGACACGTCTGTAAGATAAAGGTTTGTGGTGGAAGCAGACAGAGCTGGGGGGGGGGGGGATGGGAGGTAAGAGACCTGAGCAGGGATCTTATTCCCAAAAATTTCATGCCAGCAAAAATTATAGTCAGGGATGGACGATGATACTAACTTCTAGGTTGCGGTAAGAAGATGCCAACTTCTGGTTGGAGACCAGATGTTCAATTCAGATAACCCACCAAATTTTGATTGGAAGGAGCCCAAAATAAGAAATCATTATATCAACCCAGAAAATAGATGATGAGATGACAGAATACTTAAAAAAGAAACATCTGTTTGAATATGGTTAAAGAAACAGAAAAGTTTTGGAATGTATATATGTCATTCTAAGAGGGATGAATTCCCTAAATAATATAGTATGCTTTTTTCCCCTTTTTTGTTTTCTTTCTTGATATGAGTAATATAAAAAAGTTGAAATGACTTAGATAAAGGAAATGTTTTAGATGCTTAAATGTGATTTAATTTAAGAAAATTATAATGGATAAAAATGTTTTGAATAAGAGTTAAAGGACTAGATGACTAGTATTAAATGGAATGTTTAAAGATTAAACATATTTTTGATTGTGGTTAAAAAGAATAAGAAATTTAGGAAATAAATATATATTAGCTTAGGAGGGATATATATTTTAAGTAGTATGTTATTTTTTACGTTTCTTTACTCTTGCTCCCCTTTTTTTCATTGTTTTATCTATTCCTTAAGAAATGTGAAAGTGTGAAATGGTTCATATGGAAAAATAGAGTTAAAATTTTAAATGTAATTAATTTTTGAGAAAATCTTAACCAGTAAGAATACCTAGAATTTGGTGGGAGAAACAAATTCAAATAAGGACTGTAACAGGATCTATGATAAGGCAACCAGTATGATTGGATAGAAAAGAAATATTATATTGATGTGATTATTATTTTTAGGAACATTGGGGAAAAATTATATATTTACTGTAATTGTTATCTATCAAAACAATAAGAATTGTACTAACTCAATGTTTGCAAAAGAGGATATTTAGGGAAAAGAGGAAATCAACTAAAACCATTATGTGGATTATGGATTATAGAAATCAGTTGTTACTGATTGTTTTACAAAAATAACCCAGACAACACACTGTTCACCAATTATTAAGTGATTTATGTTTTTAAAAAATCAATAAAATATATTACAAAAAAAAGAAATCATTATTTGTGATCAGCTACCAAAACCCAGCAAATATGATTTGAAATAAATATTGTGCTAATTATAGTCTGGTATAACACTTGGCCATCAGTCTTCCTAGTCCAGACGTTACTGTGCTATGCAGAAGAATTTATAAAGCTTAGATGAAGCAGACATGTAGAATAAAATGTTGACTTTCAGATACAACCTAAACTGTGGTCAGCAGCAGTCATGGTTTAATCTGGGGCTAAGCTGACAGATTTCATGTATTCATACATAACACAATTTCTTAACAAAAGATTTAAGCCTAGACAATCTAACACAAGCCTCCGATGAAATCAGTGCAACAAATGATTAGTGAAATGAGCAATAATTACGCCACATTTTAATATGTCTGTGGGGAATACACAAAGAAAAATACATCATTAAAGTCTGGCATGAAGGTAGTATGCGGTTGCAAAGAGCAGGATGGATAGATGGCAGATTTAAGATCCAGCATGGAGTTTATGAAGAAGACCAATAGTTACAAAAATCAGCTGGGGTAGAACTGCTGGACTGTAACAGTTGCACAGAAAATGCAACCCTATAAATTTTTAGATCACACAGGCTGGAATGCCTTCTTTACCAACTATTTCTGCAGACAACAATTTGGGAGGGAATTTCTTTGGACAATTAACTGCAGCTAAAAAGATGGAAAAGGGGGAATATGTTGGCCAGAAGATCTGAATCTTCAATAGCGGCAGGCTTGCAAGAATACGATGCACCTTCCACCAGGTAGCAATGATATAAGCACGCAAAGGCAGCAGGTAAGTACTTGAAGTATTTCCACATATATTTTCTAAGTACAGTAGAAGTAAGTACTAAGTACTCTAGCCTGCTCTAATCTAATGTACTCCTCTCTCTGGAGTGCCTTCCGTCCAGCCCACTCTTTTCATCCATATCCCTTCTAGATGGGGCCTCAAAATTAAAGCCGTACCTACCTCTTGGCAGACCCGATACTGGTCAATTGCCCAGACCGTTGGTACGTGGGTCGCCAGCAGTTGATACTGGTTCAGGGTCGTGTTGCAGGCTCTTGCACAAATCAGACGGGTTTTGCCCACCGCATTATCCCCGACAACCACGCATTTGATGGTTTCAACATTTGGTCTTTCGTAGTCCATGTCAATATCCATCTACCAGGGGCTGCAAGAAGACCAGAAATTTGGTTACCACCTCAGAGAAGCTTCTCACTTTGACTTTTTGAAGGCCAAAATGGGAGCTGCCTCTTGTCAAGGCTGACTTATAAACCTCACCCAGCTCATAAACTAGGCAGGCCCCATCCCTGGCCTTCATTCAGTTTCCTATAAACACAGTCTTGCTTAGAGAAGAGAAAACAGGACCGAGTACAGGTTGCTGGCCGGGACAGCAGAAGTCTCAGCCTGCAAGCTGCTCTACGCTTGAAGTTTCAATCATGTTTATACCAGTCCTCGGGAATATGCCTCCAGGGCAAAATCAAAAGGCAAAAGTTAGGAAGTTACAAAACAAAACAGCTGCATATTACCAGAGAAAACAAATCAAGAGTCTTCATTAGCACAAGATTCCGAGCAAGCCCCAAACTGGTGATTCAAAAAATAACCCAACATACTTCTGAGTGATATAGAACCCCCCAAGAGCTTTTCCTGGCCCAAATCATGCGCTTTAGCTACAAGGCTGCAATGCTCTGAACTTGGGTCAATGAAAATTAATACGCAAATATAAACTTGGGAGGATTCACCTCTAGCTTGTTGAAAGAGCAGAAAGAAAGAAACGAAATTCGCCTGTATCTAAGATCAGGGGAAAATCCAATTCACTGTATTGTACAATACACTAATGTTAAAACTGTCTTAAACAGAAATACTTTTGGAAATATTTGATGGGTGTCCAAATTTTTTACTGTTACAATTTATTTTCCTACACAGACAATCGATTTCAAAATGAAGAAACATGTATAATTGCAGAGCTGAGAAATTTCTGTTTTATTGGTGGCATTTTTTCACTTATCAGAGATATGGAAAAAGCATTCCTCAAGTAGCTTTGAGCCCTATTTGGCTCTTAGTATTTACTGTGTCTCATCAAATATATTTTCTAAGGTCCATATGAATGTTCTAATAATGGATGGACTGTCATTTTGATTACATCTTACCTTTATTTGCCATGACTTTTGAAACACTGAACAGTTAAACATAACTGGTCAAGAAGAATGAAGTGAAATTAAGGGGTTCGATCTATAATTAATTTTAGTCTTTGTTGGAGCAATATCTTTGCCTTAGCTTGACCCCACAGAAAAGTTGATCTGGAAACACTGCTGAATATGATTTCCAGTGAGTCTTCTGTGGAAGACTTAACCTTCCACAATGTTCTCCAATCTGACGGAGTGCTAGACTATAGGTCTAAAATCCTTACTTCCTAAAGTAGTATCCCAGACATTTGGGGAACATCAAGTCATGGAAGGCTAATTTATTACAGAACACACACAAATAGGTGTTCAGGGAATGTTTAAGAGCCAAAGTACACTGGAAAATAATCCTAAAAGTCACATGGACGGGACTGGGACTAATGTTATCTCGTAAGCTTATATTTAGGACATGCCATTTCAGTCTGCAGATAGAGTTGTTGGGCTGAACACTCCACCACACTTGAAAAATAATTAAGGCAGGTGAAAGGGTGGCTTGTGACTCTTCAATGTTGTTATCATGAACAAGAATGAGTTTGAGCAAAACAGTTGCAAAGCAAATTCACAATCGAGAACAAAGAGAACCAGCTGGGAGTGGTGATTCAACCACACCAAATGCAAGATAACCCAGCCTAGCACGAGAACAGCTGTTGAACTGAGTTGACCGTCTGCCAAGAAAGCTTGGATAAGATCCAAGGTCAGGCATGTCAGAAAAAGATACAGTGTGTTGAACCTCTTTTACCTTGAGAATGCCTACAGACTCACTGGCAGCTGCCAAGGAGAAATATTTTCAAGAGACATTTCAATGGGAGTATGGTGATTTTATTGACACAACTGTTGGAGTTTACATAAAGCTTAAACACCTTGTCATGTGATAGGGTGTTTTTTTTTGTTTTTTTGTTTTTTTGAGATCCAGCCGTAATCACATTATACAGCTATACAGGAAAGCAAACACCCAGGACTTTGCTGGGGGGAAAATAATGATATTTCCTGACTTGCCGCGAGGAGTTTTAAGAAAGTACAAAGAATTTATTCAAGCCCTTGTCGTGGCCAAGCAACACAGGATAAATGTCAGGGAATTGTGCAGCCGGTGACCAAATAAAGTCAGAAACCCTGGCACGAACTTGTTGTTTTATGTAAATAAATGTATTTACAGTAAATAAGATAGGCAAACAGGAGCACCGTCAGGCAACATCATGAGGTAAATCACAGAGCAAACCGAGGTAAAAGGCGGGAAACAAGGAAACTCCCCCTTTATACCCACAGCAACCAATCACAGCTTAGATTGCCTCATGCAGGAGCCCGCTCTCACCAATCAATCAGCTATAACTGTGTGTTCTGACTCATTACACACTTCACTGTCCCAGCTATTAATTTAAATATCTTAACAATAAATATTTCCTTTCTCTGGCAGGTTACATATATAACAACAGGTCATCCCTCAGTTACCATTTGGGTGATTTCTGAGGCTCATAGACAATTCTCCTAGCAGACAAATTGCTTCATATTCAAAGTTTGGTCATGAAAATCTGACGAACTTGGCTTCTGCTTGCTTCAGTGGAAGAGTAAATTCCACATCACTTCTGGGACTTAAGTTTCAGTCTAGCTCCGCACTAATATACGCACAATCTTACCCGCAGGAGAACACAACCTGGAGGAGAAGCTGTGAATTTCTCCAACTTAGCCTTGCTTGGTCTTGACCGTAAAGTGCGCAAGGGTGTTCTACATGCATTTTTCTGGGAGTTGACTTGAAAAGCTCCTGGCAAGCTTTTCTCCAGAAATCACGGTGGGAAACACCCATTTTGGAGGACTTTGCCCAGATAGCTTCAGAAGGTTTAGCCCACAGAGCTTCTGGCCTGTGAAGAGGGGAAACTCCCTACACGGCTACGTGTCTGGCTAGGGATCCACCCGTAACTATTTGTTATTAGAGATTTGTACACAAGCACACCTTCCTTTGATGGTTTGGCTTTCCCTGGAAGCTGGCATAAGAAAATTGCATAATCCAGACATGGCTGTCGACTCTCATAAACACGGGACTATACCTATCACAATGGTAACACGGTACACCACAAAACTAAGCTTATTTTATATTGTACACCTATCGTTGAAGGGGACGGGTATTATCATACCTTCCTAGCTTCCATTTTCTCTTATTTTCACAGCTCAGGAAAAAGAGCGGGGGGACACACGAATGAAACTTGCATACGTTCATGGCAGCATGGCTGAGAGTCAGAGACCAGGAGAGGGTGTGAAGGGAGTTACAGGTAATAATAATAATAATAATAATAATAACAACAACAACAACAACAACAACAACAACAACAATAATAATAATAATAATAATAATAATAATAAAGTTGGAAGGGACCTTGGAAGTCATCTAGTCCAATCTCCTGCTCAGGCAGGAAACCCTATACCATTTCAGACAAATGGCTGTCCAGTTTCTTCTTAAAAACTTCCAGTGTTGCAGCATTCACCGCTTCTGGAGGCAGGTTGTTCCACTGGTTAATTGTTCTAACTGTCAGGAAGTTGCTCCTTAGTTCTAGGTTGCTTCTCTCCTTGATTAGTTTTCATCCGTTGCTTCTTGTCCTGCCTTCAGGCGCTTTGGAGAATAGCTTGACTCCCTCTTCTTTGGGGCAGCCCCTGAGATACTGGAACACTGCTATCATGTCCCCCCTGGTCCTTCTCTTCGTTAAACTAGACATACCCAATTCCAGCAACCGTTCCTTATATGCTTTAGCCTCCAGCCCCCTGATCATCCTTGTTGCTCTTCTCTGTACTCTTTCTAGAGTCTCAACATCTTTTTTACATCGTGGTGACAAAACTGGATGCAGTATTCCAAATGTGGCCTTACTAAGGCATTGTAAAGTGGTATTAATACTTCACGTGATCTTGATTCTATCCCTCTGTTAATGCAGACAAGCACTGTGTTGGCCTTTTGGGCAGCTACAGTGCTCCTGTCCCAAAAGGTGAATCGTGGATATTCTCACAAAGGGAAAAAAAAAAACCATCTCCTTTGACAGGAGGTGACTAGCTTTTGAGCTCCCAGTATAGTTGGAAAATGATAACATGTTCGCAGTCACGTTTCTTTCTCCAGTAATGTTTGGTCCCCTTAATTTCAAATACATGGTAAATTTCCTTTAAAATTGCATAAATGTTCTGGCTGATGTCAGCCGATGGAAAACACAAAATGGGACTTGAAAATAAGAAGTGTGCAACCACGATCAAATGCAATAATTCAATGAAGCTTTGACTAATCAAAAAAAAAACTCTGCTTGGATGGCTCTTGTTATTAACTGGGGTGTATTATGAAAGTATAACACATTTAAGTCCTCACCTTTCTTTAGAAAACTGATATAGCTTTAAGTGATGAAGAGGGAAAAAGAGCTCGTGATTAATAGCCATATGCCGGAGCAGAATCTGCATTCACACCCTCAGAATGTATATTTATCTCTGGATTTTCTATTTTTAATCCTCAAAGGAGCTGGCTTTCTGATTAAAACTCTAACAAGGAGCCAGACAAATGCAGAAGCAGGCAACACACTCTCTGATGTGCATGGTTAATATCATCTCTCTCCCTCTCTCTTTTTTTTTTCTTTCCCTGGACATTACACCCTTTTTTTGAATTCTTTATACCTGCACAGTTTATGCAGGGGTTCACCAGAATCAGAAATACTGATGATAAAGCAGCCTGGTCTTCTGAAAGAAGGTCACCTCAAAGAGGAGGAATAAGACTGAACCGATGGATGAGTTAATTCAATATTTCTTTCTTCTTTGTCACAAAGCCACATAATCTGACTAGGGAATAGAAAGCACGGCCACCCAGGAAGAGCAAAGAGGAAATGTTTAAAGAGTCCTCTTCCTGTGAGACTACAACTCCCATTCTTATGAGACAGCTGGATATCAGGCAGCACTTAGAGGCCTCCAACTACAGGGGGTCCTTGATTTACAACCGTTTGTTTAATGACTGCTTGAAAATGACAATGTCACTGAAAAAGTGACGGACAACTGATCCTTACCCATACGATGGTTGCCATATCCTACCGTCAAATCATCAAAATGTGGGCATTTGGCAACCAGCATATATTTACAATGGTTGCGGCATCCCAGGGTGACATGATCACCACCTGTGACCTTCCCATCCAGCTTCTGACAATCAAAGTCAATTTTTCATTGCTCGAAAAGAGGAACCTTATCAGTTCTCACAAAGACACACAATCTTTTGGCCTGGTGAATTGTTTAAAAGCTCAGCCTGGATGACCACCTGGTTCACTTAAAAACTGTAGGGTGTCTCTTAACAACATGGCAAAAAAAAAAAAGGTTGCAAAATCGGGTGTGATTCATTGAACAACTGCCTTGCTTAGCAACCGAAATTGTGGTCGTAAGCCGAGTCTACCTGTACACAGAAAAGCAACTGGCGAAGGGAAGCAAATGGGGGTTAATCATTATGCATTTGCGCTGGGCAATCACAGCATCAGTTGTGAAAACAGGCAGTCTGGATGCATAAAATATTTCAGGATTCCCCTCCTGCAGAAAGCATTCCAGAAGGTAAATAAATAAATGACATTGGGAAGAATAACTACATTCAAAGGCTGAGCTTTTTAAAAAATTCATCAGGCCCAAAAGATTGTGTGTCTTTGCCAGAACTGATAAGGTTACTCTTTTCAAGCAAAAAGTAGCAGGTTGGATTGCAGAATAAGCAAAATAAGCAGATTGAAGGAGAATGATGGGAAATCATACGGGTGCCTCTTTGGGTCCCTTACAGATGCTTCTCCGTATTTCTGAACAAGCAATGCATACATAAATAAAGAAAATCCCCACAGTGATCTCAAAGTAATAGATGCAACAAGATGCTGATGCTGCCTCACCCAAGACTGATATTAGTAGGGGACGTCTAGTAAAGACGTTGCTAGTAAAACCACAGTCTTCCCTGGGACCCAGAGAGCGTCATATCCAGGTCTTTGAGGATCAAAGAGAAAGAAGATACAGAATATTTCCAAACTTGGAATTTATTTTATCAATGGTTGGAAAAAAGGGGTACGGACTAAGAATGTAACTTGTATTATTAAGCAAACAAATTAACCCAGACAACACCATGTTTATTAAGCGCTAATAAAAAAGATTTTATCTTCCTGGGCTCCAAGATCACCGCAGATGGGGACTGCAGCCAAGAAATTAAAAGATGCTTGCTCCTGGGGAGGAAAGCTATGGCAAATCTAGACAGCATACTAAAAAGCAGAGACATCACCTTGCCAACAAAAGTGCGTATTGCACTTTTGCAATATTATGAAAACGGGTCAACCACTTTTTAAACAAATTGCATGGCTGTATAAATGTTAAATCTAGACAGCATACTAAAAAGCAGAGACATCACCCTGCCAACAAAAGTAGTATAGTCAAGGCCATGGTTTTTCCAGTTGCAATGTATGGCTGTGAAAGTTGGACCATAAGAAAGGCTGAGCGCCAAAGAATTGAGGCCTTTGAACTATGGGTGCTGGAGAAGACTCCTGCGAGTCCCCTGGACTGCAAGGCGATCAAACCGGTCAGTCCTAGAGGAGATCAACCCCGACTGCTCTTTAGAAGGCCAGATCCTGAAGTTGAAAGTCAAGTACTTTGGCCACCTAATGAGAAGGAAGGACTCACTGGAGAAGAGCCTGATGCTGGGAAAGATGGAGGACAATAGAAGAAGGGGACAACAGAGAATGAGGTGGCTGGATGGAGTCACTGAAGCAGTAGGCGTGAGCTTAAATGGACTCCAGAAGATGGTAGAGGACAGGAAGGTCTGGAGGAACGTGGACACGACTTCGCAACTAACAACAACAAATCAAATATTATAATAGAAAATTAATGAAAAAAATTAAAAAAAAAACTCCAGACCATCACTAAGGGAGGTGGGCATTCCTTTCCACGTTCAAGCTACACCTGATGGATGCGCAGAGAGGAGGGTCCCCCATATGGCCGGTTTCAACTGGTCCATCCTTTGCCATTTTCCCAGCCTGGGACAGCCTCCTTCCAGTCTTTCACACATGAGAGTCTGGCCGGCCAACTCCTCTAAAGAAGGCAGCTGCCAAGTTGCTAAGAGCGCAGCGAAGCAAAACTATCAAGTAACAAGAACCTCAAAAGACCTGCTCCGATTGCCTGCCAGCCACCATGGTCTAATTCAAAGGCACAAAGTTCTAAGTCCAAACATCTGAAGGAGCCTCTCCTCCATTATCATCACCAATGGGAAGAGTCCTGGACAGGCTCCCATCTATGAGGGAAAGTTGCCTCAGGGTAGAACTTAATGGCCATGGCCACAGTCATCTTCTTGGAGGGATGGTCCCGGGGCAAAGTCTGAGCCAAGAGTAAAGCACGACTTAGAGGGTGGAATGTGTTTTATTTGAACTGCCCAAATTTTAAGGAACCGATTCCATAATTGCTACCCTGTCAAGCACAGCTTCTTTCAGTTATTGGATGTTCATCTTTGATTCGGCTTTGATGGTATCAAGCCAGCATGTTCTTTGCTTGCCCCTTCTTGTTGTTCCACTAACCCAGGGGTAGGCAACCTTGGCTCTTTTATGACTCGTGGACTTCAACTCTCAGAATTCCTGAGCCAGCATGGCTCAGCTTGGAAACCTCTCCCTTTCCCCTCAGCATGGCTGGCTCAGGAATTCTGGGAGTTGAAGTCCACAAGTCATAAAAGAGCCAAGATTGCCTACCCCTGCACGAACCTTTCCTAGCATCATTGATTTCTCCAATGAATTTGCACGCATGACATGGCCAGAGTAAATCAGATATAGTCTTGTGATTTTGGCTTCTAGTGATGTTTTGGGTTATATATATATACTATATAAATGTATTCCTTAACCTGCTGTATTCTGTATAAATAAATCCCATATTTCATTGTTCTTGCCTATATTAAGTCTATAAATAATCCACTTGTAAGTGGCAAGTTTAATCAGGTCCTCAATCCATTGGGTGAAAAGAGACCATTCATTTATCTTTGCAGTGCTGGCAGTGCTGGAGTATTAGACTTTTACGTTGCCTAGTTGTCAGATTTCAAGTACTTGGTATGTATTATTTTCCTCTGAAAATATCAGCCTTTGTCGCACAATTATATTTATATAACCCATAACCTCTATAGCAAGAGCATAAATGGATCTCGAATCACCACTTAGACACAAAAAATAATATTTAGAATTCATTGAACTCTGTTAACGTTTATATAGAAAAGGTTTGTCAAAACCAGAAATTGGTTAGCGATGGATTAAGGATAATGTTTCTTTCTTCTAATGATATCCGTTATCGGATGTTGGCGATCATGTTGGCGATCTTGTTTTGATCAGCAGCCGCACGAAAAAGTGCTGCTGAATTTTGTCCAAACCAGTCCCAATGTTTCTTTAAAATACGCTTTTTTTACAGTGTCTTACACTTACCACGTTTTGGGAGAAAGCATTTG